TAGTGCACATAACCCACTTGGATCACTTGGCTTTAGGCACAAACAATATGTTTTCCCAGAGCTGTAAACAGGAGCTCAGAGCCAGGCTGAGGAGTAAAGTGCTGCATCAACAGGGAGAGCAGCCAGCCAGGCTGATGCCCTTCTCCACACATTAAGGTTAAGAAAAACCCACACAAGCATGTCAGGCTGGAGAACTCATGAGGCAAATCCTCTGTGCAGAAATACTTGCAGAATGAATTTTGATTTCACTGTTGTCTGTGCCCTCCACCTCCCAGAGAAGCCAGGGCACTCTGAGGCTGTTCTTCACCGTGTTCAGGCTCTGTGGCACAGCATCAGCTCATGCTCCTGCAGCACTTTGCTGCTATTTTCTATTGCTGTTCACACATATTAAAGATCTTTCCTCGCAGCATACACAGCCCATTAGAGCATTTTGTTTATAAACAGGACTAACCAGAGCCAATCTCTCCCAGCTTTACATTACCCAGAATGAAATGCTCTCTGATTTAACTACACCACGCGAGTGACGCACAGTGCCACCTACGTGCCCTTGGACTGGAGCCAGATGGTTTCCCTCCCACGTCACACCACATCCCTGCTAGAAGTAAACATTCAAGGGTAAAACCAGGGGAAAATACTTGTATCTTTAATTCCCAGAAGGGAACCTGGGCCAGCAGCAATGAGGCATAGCATGAACACCACCGTCTAGCGCTGTCTGGATTAAAGGATTTTAGTTTCTTATCGGCCAGCCAGAAGTTCACCTATTTTGTTCCCTTTTACTGGTCAACTTTCCCTTGTATCCCAGCAAAACAGTGCAGCCCATGCAGACATACCTTACCATATTAGGCAATGTAAGTCCTGAAAGTGGAGGACTCGGAGCCTTCCCTGGCTTCCAAACACAGTCCGCAGGCACAGGGTCAGCCTGCACAACACTGGGAAAGGGGGCAATAACTCCAGGGGACTCCCAGTACACCCAGTCTGGCTACGACAGGCAAGTCACAAAACACTTAACAAAAGCTATTCCTGGTCTTCTAGTCATTCATCAAACCCATCTTTTACAAAAAGGCAAACAGCACGATGACAGAAGCTAAACTGAAGCCTCCGTCGAAGGATAAAATGGCACTAAAAGCAAAAATATAGGTGAGAAATAGGACACACCAAAATCAGGACTCCCAAATCATAGCTCTGAATCAGCAATAACATCAAGACATTTAGTTTGTATAAGGAATTTTCCAGTTCATTGGTCTTCCCTTAGAACTCATGGCATCAAGCTTAGAAATTCAGCCCTTCTAAGACAGAGATTTAGTTTATATTGGTGTCCAGTTGCATCTGGTGATTTCATGGTAACAGTACAATTAGGCAGAACACTTATTTACAAACCAGAGTGGGCCTGAGTGGTGCTTTGCAGAATGTAAAACACTCATTCCATAAATCAAAGCACAGAGAGACAGGAATGGAGCCTATTTAATCGACTTACTGCGATCGTAATCCATAATCAAGCGGTTCAGTGTTATTCTTGCATAAAAGTTAATTCCATTAACATGTCTGGGGTTTATACTGGGCTATACAGACTGTCTTGGAGGCAGTTCATGACAACAGACATTTTCTTTGACACTTTTACTGCCCATAAACTGTTATTTTACCAACACAACACTCGGTGTCTTCCCCCGAATTTGAAGCTTTCCTTTGACAAAGTCCCTCTGGATGAGGCATGTCTGTAATGCCCCTGCAGAGAACTGCAAGGAGATAAAATCCTTCAAATGATTACCAACATTTTCTATTTGTTCTGCATGGTCTGTCATCTAAAATATACTTTTCTTCCAAATTTGTTCCCAATTCTCCTGCTGTACAACAGCAATGGCAGAAGTTGCCCAGAGAAGCTGTGGCTGCCTCATCCCTGGAAGTGTTCCAGGCCAAGCTGGATGGGGCTTGGAGCAACCTGGGCTAGTGGAAGGTGTCCCTGCCCATGGCAGGGAGATGTAATAGGATGAGCTTTAAGGTCCCTTCCAACCCAAGCCAGTCTGTAATAGATTCCATCATTCTAAGTCAGGGTCAAGTCAAAGCCAGGAGAGCTGGGGATAAGGAAACACCAGCTCTGAAACAGAACACTGGACCATTCTCTTTAGTCTTCATCGTCATTCTCCAACTGCTGCATCCTAAACTGGAGCCACTGATCCCTATTTGCACTGACTCTGTTGTATTTGTCCTCACTGGCCTCACCAAGATGGAATTCCTGCAGTCACTAGCTTGAGGGATCAGGGAAGCTTTCCCAACACCAGTCTCTCCCCCTGGCTCAGTCTGGGTCTAACAGGACCTCTCAGACTCTCCCAGTTTTTACTTTCTGAGAAACAAAGACGAGACTGTGGCCAAACTTTTCTTTGAGCTCAGGTCTCCCCAGACTGCACAAAAACTCTTTCCTTCACAGCACCTTCCCAGTGGAACCATGCAAAAACCTCTCCTAAAGCTGCTTCCCCAGAGGCTTCTTCCAGCTGAAGTCCTTGTGCCCTTGAACATTTATTCCACAATAAAACTTTGTCTGCTCTTCCAACTTTCCACAGTGCATCCAGGCAGTCTGCATCCTGGGGAGAGAGGCAGGGTGGGAGCAGAACACATGGAGGATTCCGACACATCCCATTACAAGACAACTCAGTTGCCTAAAGCTCAGCCAGAGTGTCTGGGCTGGTTTCCCACGCTGGTGCTCATGAGCTCAGCCAAAATAATTCCTCCACTTCTGAGAATCAGTACAACATGTATTTGCTCCTTCTTTTTCCAAAACTGCCTTTACCTTTCCTTTTCTATTCTCCAGCGCTGCAGAGCTTGCAGGAGGGATTTCAAGTAGGGCCTTTTTTTGGCTTCTATGAAAATACTCCCAATATCAGCCAAGACATAAACACTGGAGGAAAAATACAACTGCTCCCATAAAACCAGAGAGTTTTTGGGGATCTGCAACTAAAATGGGACACTCCAGTGTGTTCAAGTTCACATCTTGGTGACATGGTGGCAACTCCCATTCTAGAGTTATTACTATTGATTATTAATGATTATTAATTGTACTTTTTCCTTGGCACTAGAACTGAAAGAAAGGAGCTGCTCTGTGATTCCTGCCAAAGTGATGGCCAGTTAGGACAGAAACCTCTGATTTGGATCTAAAACAAGCCAGGGAAGACTGACCAAGTGACATGATGCTGGAGGCATGCAGCGAAGAAAATGAACTGGAAACTGGATAAAAACAAGATGACTGGGAAAATGGAAAAACAGGTCTGGCACAGTGGGAGGAGAGTCTAACCCAGGTCTAATGTATGTGGGGTGTGTAAGAAAACAGGGTGCTGGTGCCCCAAAGCACCTCCACAAAGGGGTTGAGGGAACTGAAGGGAAGGTGCTCTGCTGTTAGATGGGAACCCACAAGAAAACCACAGGAAGTACAAGAAAAGAAATCCTTGCTGTTAATTTGGAGAAAACCAGCAGTAACTGTAAGAGATTGGGTGACCTTGAATTTTTGGGCAGGTGGGCTCTCCTGAAGTGCAGCTAATCCATTGACATGAGCAGTGAGGACTGTACTCAATTAAATCTTCAGCAATTTTAGGACTAGACTGCAGCAAGCCTTCAAACCTGCAGCCTCAGACACTCTTTTGTCTTAATTTAGCTAGTCTGGGACAACTTCCACGAAGAACAAGTCATTCCCAGCAAGTCCAAAACATTCCTGTGGGAAACAAGGTGTCCCTATTATGATTATTACTGTTTTACACATTACAGAACTCCCCTCCTCCAACCCTACCATGAGACAGCAGAAATGTCAAACCAATTGTAATGATGATAAACGGCCAAATCTTTCCTGCAGGGCCCAGTGAGGATTTCATGAAGCTCTGCTCTGTGATGAGCAGAAACTCCCGTGGGAAGGGCTGGGCTCCTCAAAGCAGGTGATGCTTCTGGGAGCAGGAATATCCCACATTTCACACTGCAAAGTAAGCACTGGGGAAAGCAATGCCTGGCATGGAAAGATAAGCACATGCTAAAAGCCATCTCAGCACCACCTGAGTCTCTGGTCCCAGCAAGGCTCGCCGTGACTTTGCCGCATTCTGACCAACTATTGCAAGAAGAAAAACAAAAATAAGAGTCTGCAGAGTGTTACTGCCAATTTTCAGCAGTGAACCAGGTAATTCCAACTAAATGATGCTTCAATCACTCTACTGCATCACAAACCATAGGGAAAGGCTGCCCCAAGTTCAATGTTTTCCAGCAAAAAAGAAACATCGCACGAGCAGGCTGACCCCTACACAACCTTGCATTTGCTGCTTCTCCCGAGTCTTGCACATTGTCTTTTAATAGTCCGGAAATGCATTTAGCTTTGACATTGTCACAGTCAGTCATGCTGTCAGGCTCAAATGGGTTTCAGACAGAGACAGACAAAACCAAAGGAAACCAAGGCAATTCAGAAAGACTCAGTAATTATTAAAAAAGGAAAGTAAGGGCCTCGAAGGATGAGACTATTGCAAGAACAGGGGAACATGGAACAATCTCTGACATGCTGCTTGTGAAGACAATTTCCCACAAGAAATCAAATCTGTGAGGAGACAGGAGAGTAGATTTCAGAAATACAAAACATACTGTCCAAACTAACAACGGCAGGGTAATTCTGAGATCCAAGGTCACAGGTCTTGCCCAGGACACTTGATGGCCACGCTCTGCCAGCACCGTGGCCCAACAGCTTCGTGAGGCTCTTGCTCAGCCCTGCTCTGCTGCACTCCCTCCAGGCTCCAGAAATGCCCATGAAGCTCTCCAAGAGCCAACTCTGAACTTAGGCCAGTTCTGCAGATATTCTTTATCTTTCAGGAGAGAAATCAATAAAGAATTTGCTACTTGGAGGTGTCTCCCTGTTTGTTCATACTCAGCTACTGAGCAGAGCCTAAACCTCTCATATGGACAAGAGTAAAGCCATAGAAGATTTCTTGCCATGAACACCCAGGACTGAAACACCAATGATTTAGACATATGGTCTCACTTACCCGAGTCTCCTTCACATCCTCGTTTCCATCAACTTCATCATCGTCCTAGGATGAAAAGCAAACAATATAATTAGGCAGCTTTGGAGACAACAAAACTTTATCACAGGCTGATAATTTTATTGTTTATAGAACCACAGAATTGTTAGGGTTGGAAAAGACCTCCAAGATCATCAAGTCCAACCTCTGACATCATGTCAACGAAACCATATCACAAATTGCCACGTCTACTTGTGTTTTGAACCCTTCCAGGAATGGTGACTCCACCACTGCTCTGGGCAGCCTGTGCCAGTATCTGACCACCCTTCCAGTGAAGAAATGATCTGATGTTAAAGCTAAGAAGAAATCTCAAAACAAATGCCTGTCCAGATGTTTTTGGCTGATTATCAGATCAGGTTTGGTGACCTAATGACCATTTAGAAGATCTTGGTACTGAGAACAGAATGACTCTCTCTGATGGCTCCTGTCATTCAAATGCTCCTGAAGAGTCAGGAGGAACAACAACAACTCCTTAATACCCTCAGGGAACAAACATGACACTTGGGAAGACTGCTCATCTGAAATACTGACATAATACTGACTTTCAAAGAACATCTCCACTTCAATTAGACCCCAGGAGGAGAGACTCACCATCCCAGACATCCTGCACTTGTGCAGCCTCTCAATTAGCCACTGCCTCTTTGTAACAGCTTTGGGATTTCATGGAGCAATGGGAAACTACCACAGCATCCCAGCTGACTCCAGACTAAAGTCGTTCACCATGACTTCATAATTCTTACTCTCTCTTGAATTTTCCTACCTGAGGCTCTAACCAAATTTTGGAGGGTTAGATTTCTTCCCTCAGACTGAAGAAATCCTCTGAACAGGACTAAAAGAAGTGACCATGACACAGACAGCTCTCCTGCACTTATGCTGTGAGTGTTCCCTGCTGCTGGGAGGGGACCCAGACACTGGTTTTATTCCTCGCTGTCTTCCTTTCATGGGGCCTAAAGAGCAGACAAATTTGAGCTCAGAGGAATTTGAAAATACTTCAAGTGGCTTGTGACCTTCTTCTTCCAAAGGAATTAAAGACTTCTAATTTCTCCTCTCCCATGTGGGCCCTTTCACAGTCCTGCAGGGTTTCCACTGATTGGTGGCTCAGGAACAGGCTGTGCAGAGCCTGCTGCTGGATGTGACATGGGCCAAACAGGGATGTTTGGCACCACTTTGGATGTGCCAGTCTGAAAGAGAGCTGAAGAGGGAAGGACTAATGGAAAATCAACTGACTGGGAAAAAAATCTGAAGCTTGGAATCGGAAGAAAATTCATCCTGGATATTACAGAACGAGTTTCTCTTTCTAGGGAACTCGAACTTACATCTTTTGTCGAGAAAATGATGCCGGTGCCTCTCCGTCTCTCTTTCGGCCGCCGCCGCTCCCGGATCGACTGTTTGTTCAGGGATCTGTCGTCTGAATCCTGATCTTCACACTCTGGCCAAGCAAAGAAAGACTGCTTTGGTTTCAGTGATTTACATCTGTGCTTTTTGCTAAGGTTCTGGGGTTCTTTTCAAGCTGATCAAGGTCATCTTGGTTTGTGTTATATTACGAAGGAGTTATTAAACCAAATGTGTCCTCCTACAGCTGGATACTCACACTCCTTCCCTCATCAGAGACAGAGGATACCCCAGCTAGCAGCTCTCCCCAGGTCATCCTGACTTTTCTGAGGATGAGCTGTACTAGAGGAACCTCTTCCCTCAGCTCTAATATCTAAATGCTCTATGGATCACTGTTTCATTTATTTATCCAAAATGGAAAACATCCTTTTATCCCTCTGTTGCAAGCAACAGGAATTTGTTTAACTCCATTTAAACAAATAACATTTGTTTTGTGATGTGGCATCTCCCCTCAGAGTAACAAGTAAACTCGTTCTCTCTGTCTGTACACACTGAAAGCTCTAAAACACACAAACCCTCCTGAGCTTTGCCTGCTCCTCACTCTCCTGGTACGTACCATTTTTCTCCATCTCTGTGGCTGCCCCTCTGAAGTCTGCTGGATTCACAGAGTCCAGACCTAGATATTTATTTGTTCGAGTCAGGTATGAACTTGTGTAGAGCAGAGGTGCTGCTGTTGAAGGAGACACAGGTGTCGTGGGTTTGTCGGGCTGTGCTGGGCACCTCAGTCGCCGATAGACTGACTATAAACACAGAGCCATGACAGAAAGTCAGTAGAATGAAGAGGAACCAGCAGATCTGGGATTTCAGGGAATGTAGTAACCTTTCAGAGTGCAATGTTTTCTTTCCTGCTGCTGGAAGTGATCATCTGCATCTGCCAGATCGAGTTTATTCCATCAGATAGGGATGAATGTTAAAATAAACCATTGTACAGCTACAGTGTGAGAGTACTGTCCATGGCTGGGAGATCTGGGATCAACCCCTTTGTCCCTGCAGCCAATGGCAGGATAAACAAGTTATCTAATAGAAATAAAATGATTCAGAGTGAAAAACCAGAGGTGATGGCAGGGGAAGAGAACTGGTCTCTCCAGTTTTCCATTAAACACAGAATATTTGTTGAAAAATGTGAACACAAATTCTCAGCCCAGACTGCACAGCGAGGATGGATCCAGGCCACATTTCTATCATTAGCCTTCTCATTCCACTTTCTGGGATTTACAGAGTCTTACTTTCTGGCAAGAGACAGAAAGGTGAAATTCCCAGTGGAGAGCAAAGGCCTAGCTAAGCTCCAGCACCTCCAGATCCACATCCCTCGTGCAGGTGCTGCTCCTCAGCATTGCTTCTTTCCAGCAAGTCTGCCCCCCCTTAAAATGGAAAGATACCCCCAGGAGAATTCCTCCCGATCTCAGCTATCCCAAATGGCTTCATTAGCTCTGAAGCAATGAGCACTGAGGCAAAAGGATCACCTCCTCATCCGTACTCCTGCTCCACCGTGCCCGGCTCTCCTGCCGCTCGCTGCCCTCCTCAGGCTCCGTGCTCTCGGCTTTCTCGCTCTGCTGCTCCTGGGCCTGGCGCTCGGCCCGCGACCGGCTGAAGGTCCGCTCGGCCTCCTGAAGGTCTGTCAGGGTCACACCCTGCACAGAAAGTAAAGGAGAATTCTTAAATTTATGCATCGAATCCCAGACTCGTTTGGGTTGGATCTTAAAGCCCATCTCATTCCACCCCCCTTCTATGGGCAGGGACACTTTCCACTATCCCAGGTTGCTCCAAGCCCCATCCAACCTGCCCTTGAGCACTTCCAGGGATGGGGCAGCCACAGCTTCTCTGGGCAACCTGTGCCAGCACCTCCCCACCCTCACAGGGAAGAATTCCTTCCCAATATCCCATCTAACCCTTCCCTCTGGCAGTGGGAAGCCATTTACCCTTGTCTTGTCACTCCATCCCTTCTCCAAGTCCCTCTCCAGCTCTCCTGAAGCCCATTTAGGCAGTGGAAGGTGCTCTCAGGTCTCCCCAGAGCCTTCTCTTTTCCAGGCTGAAATTAGATTTCAAGTCTTCCAGGTCAGTTCAAAATGCTGCAGGCTCCCACCTGGCCAGGCTCAAGTTTCATCCGTAATGGTAAGAGAAAGAGAAGAATTCTCTTGCCTTTAATGTATTTCTCAGTGTATTGACATATCACTGACTCAAAGCAATCCAAATATATGTGATCACAGTGCAAACTAAAAGGCAGGTACAGCGCAGAAAGGAAAGCTTGGAAATCTAACTCGTGTATGTTTGGGGGAGGGTTTTGTATTAACTGTCTGCAGGAACTTTGGCCAGAACCTCTCCAAAACAGTGTGAGAGCAGACAAGTTCCTTGTCCTAAGAAATAAAGTAAGAGAAGAATAAAATCCTGCCTCTTTATAGAATCCCAGACTGGTTTGGGTTGGAAGGGACCTTAAAGCTCATCTCATTCCACCCCCTGCCATGGGCAGGGACACCTTCCACTAGACCAGGTTGCTCCAAGCCCCATCCTGGCCTTGAACACTTCCAGGGATCCAGAGGCAGCCACAGCTTCTCTGGGGAAACCAATTCATCAGTTCTCTTCATCCAACACATGAATGTATTTCCATTCTTTACCTGGGTAGACCTGCGAGTCTGCCGGGCCTGCCTGGACCGTGCCTTCCTCAGTGATTCCGCTTCCTCATCCCGCACCGGAGTCAGATATGACCTGGAAAAAAAAAAAAAGGGGGCAGAAGAGGTTAAAGTAAAAGCAGATGCTCTGCTTTCTTCTCCCTTCAGACTCCTGAGCTATTATTCTCTTTCTTATGTACAAAAACAATTTTAGTTCCATCTACTACTGCTGCTGCTTTGGGACAACTCCCCCATGAGCACAAGACACACATGCTCACATAAACCCTTGACAGTGCTGGACATGCTCTGTTAAAAAACTGCACCTTTTAGAACATTATTTGCTCCATTCCATGTCTTTGCAACATTAAAACAACTCCCCCCCCTACCCCCTCTCACTCTGAGATAAAGATCTCAGAACAGAAATCCTGCACTGGCACATTTCTCAGACCCTCCTTCCTGTCATTATAGTCCTGATCATATTCCTGCAATCTGCTGGCTTCATCAATATGAAACCCATCACACCAGGAACTGGCTGAACTGCAGGCAAAAACCTTGGAAAAAGCCATGGAATTAAAGAAATGACCTTCACACTCTGTGTAAACTGAGCTCCTTAACACTGAAAACCCCATGGTTAAAACACAGAGCTGGGCACCACTGGATTCATCAAACCTGGGAGAATTCGAGAGAATTTTCACATGAAAATACACAGACTTTACTCTCTGCCCTGGCATTCTCTGGGAGGAACTGGTGAGGAATTGGGCAGTGCTCCCACAATCAGGGAGTGCACAGCAGTGATTTCCATAATGGAGTAGAGGCTTCAGTCTTAGGAACGATTAATTAAATTGGACTCCTCAGCCTGGTTAATAGGGAATGATTATTCACACTGTCCCACTGTACAGGGATAAGGGTGCTGGAATGTTCTTTGCAGTTCCATCACTGCCAGAGGTTAACAGTGTACCAGAGACCTGGATGTGTTCAAAGGGCAATGAGCCAAGTGAGGGGTGAAGGTTTATCATAGAATAGGCTGACTTTGTCCTTGGACTCTTTTCCTGGTTCTCCACTAAGACCACCTTCACAGAAAAGATAACGGGCTGGAGAGGATTTGCATATGATCCAGTATGTTAAGACATTTATTAGGAAGTTCACTAAGCTGCTGCACTGTGACAAAACCACAGAGAATCAGGAAATTTGGATCATTCTAAAATCATCTGCCACAGTGGGTTTTATCCACCCACAGGACCCCCGTTCAGGGCCAGTTCAGCTGTGCAGCAAATGTAGCCTGACCTCTGACCTCCAAGGGGGCTTCCTCAGCTTTTGGGTGGTACATCCATGGGAGCCAGTCATCCCACACTCCTTCTGGTGCCGTGGGGCACATGTGAGAGTTTTCTCACCTGAAACTGGGGTAAGGATTTGACCTAATAAATTATGCCCTGAACATCCCTGCTCTCCAGAGGCCAGGAGGAGTGCACAGGACCGATGGTCCGTGCTGGGGGTGATGCACTGCAGATTCCTAGAGGGGCAGGCACTGATTTCTGCTCTCTGTGACCAGCGACAGGACCCGAGGGAAGGGCTGGAGCTGTGTCAGGGCAGGTTTAAGCTGGATTTTAAGAAAAGGTTCTTCCCCCAGAGGGTGGCATTGGAACAGGATCCAAGGCTGCCAGAGCTCAAGGAGCATTTGGACAACGCCCTCAGGGATGTGGTGGAATTATCGGGGTGTCCGGTGTAGGACCAGAGGTTGGACTTGATGGTCCTTGTGGGCCCCTTCCAGCTCAAGAGATTCCATGATCCTATGAACCCTGTCCTGGCAGCTGCCTGCAGCAGAGATGTCCCTGGCCGAGCTCGCAGAGCTGCACTCCCAGGGTGCGATTTATCACCTTCAGAGGAGCCTCCAGCACAGCCCATGTGGATGCACTGCAGAGGAGCTCATTTCTTCCCATTGATTATCCAGACAGACACACGAGCTGTGATGGATATGCCAACATGAGAAGCGCCTACACTTCAGAGGGATGATTGCCTCCCAAGAATTTGCTGTTTCATGAACAAAAAAAGCTGCTGTTTGATGAATGAAAGCTGTGCAACTCCTAATTTTGCAGAGCAGGAGTTCTGTTCTCCCTGCTGCAGTGTGTGCAGGTAATGGCACATTAAGGAAACAATAAGCATTTTCTGCAGCTTTTGACACAAGCAGAATCGCTGCTGTTTGCCCAGCAGCCAGAAGCAATAAGCCACCTACAGGAAGAAGGCATTTGCAAAATATACTGCAAATGAAGTTCAGAGCAGTAGTGAAAAAAAAATAAATTCCTGAAACATATAAACCTGGTAAATTTGTAGCTCAGTATGGTGTAAGGTGAGCAGTTTACTGCAATGGCTTTGAATCAGTGGAATTTAAATCAGTGGAATTTACTCTGCCATGAGGACACAGGTATGTAGGAGCTGCAGGTATGTAGGAGCTGTGCCCACACATGGAAACAAGAAGAGGAAGGTGAGCCCTGCCTTTGCCCGAGGAGGAGTTTGGCTCACACAGGCAGGTCTGCAGCAGGCACACTGTGCTTGTCCCAGGATGTGGGAGCAATACCAGGCCACTTTCCAGCGGCTGAAATGCTTTTGCACACAAAAGGAAACAATACTGAGCTCCTGCCACGGATGTGGGAGAGGACAAAAAAAGGTTTTCAAAGGAGCTTCAGAAAAGGTTTGGCAAATCCGTGGGGAAACAGGTCAGCCCCAGGCATGGGGAGGGCTCTGCAGCAGGGGCAGCCCGGGCAGTTTGCAGGAGGCTGCAGGATTTCCCTCGGTTCAGTGTTCAGCTGCAGCTTTGCTGTGGTTACAGCAAGAGAAAAACCATTTTGGGTCTGTTACCCCATCATCCTCCCAGGCTTTTTCCCTCTGCTCTCCCAGAATTTATACAAAAATGCAAATATGTCACAGCATTATTAGCAAATTTGGGAATCCAACCTGTAACAGAGACTTCAGCCAAGCACATTTTGCCGGTCAGAGCGGCTCAGCCGGGGCTGCAGCCGTTATCAATCACCAACTTTTGGGTTCTTTCCATTTACACAATTCATCACTTCCTGGAGCTCACCCAAAGCCATTTACAGCATGAAATAACCAAATTTTCTGAGGCAAGTCAGAAGAGCCACTGTACAGTCACTGAGCTGGTTTCTCCGAGGGAGCAGCTCCAGGCTGTTCCAGGTGCTGAAGGTGCCCGTGCTGTCAGTGTCTCAAACACACACAGCAGCCCCGTCCCTGCTGGCAATGCAGGCCCAGGAGGACTCTGCTCAGGGCTTTGTGTGCTTTGTTTTCTTCTGTGGGGGGAAGGGAGGGAAGTGCCAGATTTTACAATTTTACAATGCTTTGCTTACAAACTGAATTTTGAGAGACCCAAGTGTGCTAAATGAGCTGGAAGAGAGAGAGAGAACAAATGCACTGGAAGGAGATGGAGAGTCAGCTGCAGCTCAGAGCTGGGCTGGGCTGGATGGCACAGGCAGAGCAGCAACACGCTGCTCTCCAAAGCAGAACCACTGCAGAGCACAGCAAGCTGCAGGGCACAGGCACCAAAGGCGGCCTGGAAACAATCCACAGCATTTTTAATTATGTTTTCAAGGAACACACTGCTTGCTCAAGTGCAGTGCCTTGTCATCCTACTAATTCAAGCAAATATCCCAGGATCCAAGCAGATCTTCAAAGGAATGGCCCTATGCACTGTGTTTCCTTGCAATGAGTTTTCTCTGAGAAATGGATGAAATAAGAGCAGCCATCACGTCAAGCTCAAGGCACGTACAAAGCAGAACAGATTTTTACCAGAGTTTTGGCTGCAAGTTCAAGGAGCAGAATTGAAATTGTGCGAGATGTGTACGTGAGAGTCAGCAAAACCACTGCAGAGGTTTACAGCTCCCAGAGACAGAGAAAAGTGTGTCCTGTTGCCATGAGAGAGCTACAGGCTCTTGGCTGGTGTATTAGCTATGAAAAAAACAGATAACTGAATGATGAACCTGCCTCCCACTTAATTCTGCCTATTTTCAAGAAAACACCTATTTTTCTCTGTCAACTCTTTCAATCAGGACAGCACAACACAAAGGTGGATCTCAACTACTCACCACCATCTCAAGGCAGAAGGAGCATCAATAAAATACTAACAGAGGGGAAGATTCAAACCAGGGCTGGATATACAGGCTGGTGAGCCAGGAACATAAGAGCAAATCTTTTAGAGAACCTTGGCCAGAGGAAAAGAACATATTGTACAGAGAAACTTCTCCCAAGAAAGGGTGAATGATGCAGATAAAGAAGTTACAATCCCCTGTTTGTTGGTGCACAGGTAACAAGAACAGAAGATGAACTTCTCTAAGAAACACACAACCTTCTGATAGTCCTTTCACAACACTGGTCTCCTTTCCTGCCATCCTGAACTCTTTCAGGCACTCAGAGATTGAAGTGCTTGTGGCAAACACCATCTACCATCACGGAGTCCTTTGGCAGAACATCACCCAGTCCCAGAGGGAACAGTGAGAACATGCAAAACTTGGAAGTTTTACATCACCCATGTGTCAGAGCAGCTGTGGCTGCCCCAACCCTGGAAGTGTTCCAGGCTGGGTTGGACAGGGTTAGGAGCAACCTGGTCTAGTGGAAGGTGTCTCTGCCCATGGCAGGGAGATGTAACTGGATGGGCTTTAAGGTCCCTTCCAACCCAAACCATTCTGGGATTCTGTGAAAACTTGGCAACAAATCTGGACGCTAAACATTCACCAGGTGCTACAGCTTCCCTCTTCTCAAAGGGGGTTCAAGGTATTTCGCTTTGCTCTCAGGACCAAAAATTGAGATACACCCTCGACGAACTGTAATGGGCCACAACAGGTTCCCTCTGTCCCCATCAGGTCCTTCTCCAATAAATCCAAGTCCCATAGGCAGCACAGTAAGAACATGAGTTGCATACAGTAATTCCAGGGTGCCCAGTCTCTGGGAAATGGGGCTCTGCTTGTTGTGAACTGGGGCTGGGCTTGAAGGGGCTCTGGCAGAAGACAGTTTGACCTGGATCCTCTCCAACTCCTTGTCTCAGCCCAAATTCTCTTTCTAGCTTAGGAGTGACTCTGAACAACACCCACTAGA